TATTTACCATTATAAAGTACTTTCGTTGACGTTTATAGTAAGATCAATTACGTTTCTATTTGATTTTAATATTTTTTTCCCTCAGTGTAGAGCTGTAAAACTATCGATATTCATCCCATTCAATGTTTTCGATAGTTTGCATTGAAACTATCGATAGTATCGGATAATTTTAAAATGCGTTGACGAAGCTATTTATATAAACTTTTTAGTTTTGTTTAGTTAGCGATTTTCAGTAACTTTGTTCTTTCTCTTCGATTTTTTAAATATTTTAAACTGATAATATACGAATATTCCCAAACGTATTACAAAAAACTTTCATCAGTCAACTTCGGCTACACCACAGTATTTTTGCATAGAACTCACTCCAAAATTTACGGAAAAGGCCAGATTTCAAGTGTATGCTATAAGAACTCAAATCATTGTACAAATAGCCGAACCGTACCCCCCCCCGCCCCCCTTCTACACGAATATTTATCCATTCAAAGTATCAAAAGGAAATAAAAGCATCCCCAAAATTTGACAAACCCTGGCTTATATCAATAGTTTCTTCCATCGACTCAGAAGGACTAACACCATAATAAGGTTCCAAAAAGATATTCAAACTAGGTTTTAACCGACTTCAAAAAAAGGAGGAGGTTATCAATTTGTCGGAATATTTTTTTTTTTAGGTATGTTTCCCGATAACTTTGGACCACGTCAACCGATTTAGATACTTCTTTTTGCATCGGAAAGGTAGTATCTTACAGGTGGTCTCATACTAACCTTTAGATCCGATCATTGGATCATGAAAAAATTAACGGTACTCCTAAATTTTTATATGAGAATTGAAGTCGGTTTTCTTTTTTTCTTAAAAATTACTTGTTTTCAAATTTAATTACACCCGATTTACATGATTCAAGTACTTAAAGCAATTCTGGTTCATTCTCTTTTGTTTTTTCTATTTGCTTTTACACGCTTCAATTTTGTTGAATTCAAGCTTTTGGTTCATTAAATGGGAAACAACGAAAATGTCAAAAGCAAAGCAAGAAACATTAACTCTTGCCTTTTCTTCTCAACCCCTCTCTTCCACTAGCAAGAAGAATTGAATTCAATACTTGAACCGTGTAAAACCCGGAAATAGGTAAAAAGAACAGTGAGGTGCAAGCAAATCAATGTTGCCAAATTCCCATTTTCAAAAATAAAAAAATGCAGTAGTACATATAATATACTTAAACAATATGTATATTTCCTCAAACATTTCCTCGATAGTGCAAAAAAGGAAAACCATTCGATATTATCGATAGTACCATCGATAGTTTTACAGCTCTACTTTCAACACATACTCCTATAATACTTAGTTATCTGCCCTTTCGCTAATTTTTTGAATGCATGCAGAAGACGAGTTTGGTATCATGATATCCATAATGTGCGTGTTGATCTTGTCACGCAAATGAAGCGACCTAGAGTTCTAGGTCGTCTCTGAACGGCAAATGGTTTTTATGAGAAGCGATTTCATGGCAGAAGTACACTCGACCGCAGAGCGGGAATTGCGTAGAGGGATATGGATGACAGTCTTCCTAAAATAAATATGAAAAATTTATTGAAATAGTAACTCTTCTGACTATGAATTTTTGAGGAAAATTATCCTTTTTGACTATTTTAATAAACAAATTTAACAAAACGAAGAAAAGTTTAACATTTTAACAGGCAGGAAAAACTTAATCAATTTTGCTTAAATTTAACCAAAATGGCAACGCTGCTTGTAACCTATGCTTAGAAGGTCAAGCCCAAGGTTGTTGTCCCGAATAGCGGGTCGCCTTTCTTGTGGATTGGACTGATCACACTTAGGCAGTCTGCACACGGGACGTATGGATTTAGACGCGTAAGTATTAGATGCTATATACGAAAGTTGTACGCTTTGATGCCGAACACATGTATTTAAATGGAGAGCTGCAGACGAGTCGTCAGCTTCACGAATTCGTCAAAACAAGCTAGCTGCAAATCATCTGGCGTACAGCAGTGTTGGTAGCTAGGCGTACGTCCCACAGTGGGGTAATCGACCCTGAAGTGGAGATCAATTCATACGTACATTTAATGTAAAATATTTTGATGTGTTTGTATAACTAGCACCAAATGAAGTAAAAAAAAGACAAATCGGAAAATAGTTTAGTGAGAATTTTTTTTATGTAGATTTTTATGGCGTCACCAAAGAGCGAGAAAAGTTAAAATTTAGTTGTTTCTCCCATAAATAATTTTTATTATTAATGATAATTTGTTAAAATCCTAATCATCATTTATTACAAGTTAAACGGCACTTCTAAATATCATTATAATAATTATCTTTATCATTATCTTCATTTCTTTTTTCATCATCAACATCACCCACATCACTTTTTTAGGTAATTCTTTATTTCTTTTTAACAAATAAAATAGTGGAAAAAAACAACACGAATTCACAAGGCGAACTTAGCACAGTGCGTAGGCAACTGGCTGAGTCAGTGGGATCGTCGGTTCGAATCCTACTGAAAGAAGTCTGATGAGGAAATGTGATGATTTCCGAAATAGCTATCACTTCTACCATTTTTTCAAATTGTTGTTGCTTTTCCACAATAAGTTTTTCATTAAAAACGGCCTCAAGCTCAATTATAATTGTTGAAGGTAATTCTTTATATGATAACGAATACGAATTGTACAAATTTTCTCTTCAACAATTATCTACATGTTTTTGTTAAGCCTAGAAAGTAATTTAGAATATATGTATAACCTTTAATAAAAATAATCATCATCTTCGCTTGCGTAATTGTCATCAATATCAACATCTTCATCATCGATATAAGGCTTCATAATTAACAACTGTTGTGCTTCTTTCGGCAAATCCTGCATTTTTTTTTTGGTAGTTTTCTCATACTTGATACAACAGGGTCGGAACTAATCAAAAGTCTATTGAATATATCTTCAGTCTTATTTTTTCTGTTGCACTTGCGAGAAAAATTTTCTCTGCAGCTCTTAAAATCTTTTATGCGCTTCTTCAGACAACTGATGTTTATTTATTTTTTTTTGAACACGGAAAACCTGTAGCCAACTTTTGTTTGCTTCAAAAAAACGTTCTTCGTGACTACGGGACCTATTCCAAGGAATTTTGAACTCAGAGATAAAATATCTCATCTTTTCATTAAATTCTTTTAAAATTTCATCAGATGGCCTGATGCGATCTCTCATTTGTCCCGTTAAAACGTTAAATCTATCATTCAATTGATCGCAGCTAGAGTTTTTCATTATTTCCTATAAAGAAAATAATCATATTATTAGGCCTTTAAAGTCTCCGTGTCCCCGTCTACTCGTAACCATATTAGTTAAAAATATCATCACTATCATTATTTCCATTCACTGCACGTGATATTTATGCATAAAAATAGCAACACTATAAACAATAACAAAGATTAGCCAGCAGATAGAAACCCGTTATTTTCATTTTCTTGGTTTCTGCGGCGTGGATATGTATCTTCGCGTGTCGTTTTTTCCAGGGGTCTTCTCATATTTTTCGTACAGCATCTTGAGGGGTTCGAATATTACATCGGATACGGTGTTTGTTTGTTCGTTTATAATTCTCCCTTGTAATGTTTTCTGCTTGTATATCTCCATGTTTTCCAATATGTTCAAACGCCGTCCTTTATGCTGTACGTGGAGGAGTTTAGCTGCCTTATTAATTTTTATTGGTGTACATTTATTTTCGAACATATGATTTGCGAAGTTTGATTCTGGTGTGACGCTTGGTTTTTGTGTCCTCTTATTGAAGTCTCTTATATGTCCGCGGAATCTTGTTGTAATCTTACGGCCAATTTGCCCTATGTAGCTACACTTGCATTCACACGTTAATTTGTATACACCCTGCTTATCTAGAGTGTCCTCTTCGTTTGTGCTGTTGTTCAGTATCCTTCCACCGTTGTTCCTGGTTCTGAACGATGTGCGAATGTTGAATTTTTGAAAAACGTTGGCCAGTTTGTATGTCATTTTACCCGTGAAAGTTAACACTGCCCAAGCTGTATCGTTGTTTTCTTTCTTGTCCCTACTTTTTCGTTTCGAGTCCTTTCTAATTTTGTCCACCTGATCTTTTTTGTATCCATTGTTTTTGGCAATAGCATATATTGTGTCTAGCTCTCTCCTGTGTGCTTCCTTCGTTAATGGGGTTCGCTCAAGTCTAGTTAATAATTGTCTAAATGCTGCGTTTTTGTGTTGCTGCGGGTGGTTAGAGGTTTCATGTATTACTGTGTCGGTCGCTGTGGGCTTTCTGTATATCGCGTATTCCAGTCCGTTGGTGGTCTTGTTTATTTTAATCGTTAGATCCAAATAGTTGAGTTTTCCTTTGTCTTCCTTATCCATCGTGAATGCTATATTTTTGTGTTGTTCATTAAGGTAGTCTAATATCTGCTCCTCTTTGTCCCCCGTTATTATACATGTTATGTCGTCTACATATCTAGCGTAGAAGCTGACCCCTAAATTGGTTGTGAGATGCTCCATATATTCCTCCTCTAGGCTTTGCATGAACAACTCCACGAGTATAGCCGATGTTGGGTTACCCATTCCTAGTCCATTTATTTATCTGTATATTTTGTTGTTAAATCGGAAATAATTTTGGTTTATCGTAGGCTTTAAAGCAGAGATGGGCAAATTGGCTCCCAGGTGCCTTTTGCACTGAGGAGCCGGCTTGGCTCATTTAGGAGCTTGATGAGGGGGGCATCAAGAGCCAGCATGAAGGGGGAAGAAGAGCGTAATAAAACAGATTGTACTCCGACTCTCATTAGTTGCGATCCCGTACGAGTCCGGACTAGTCAGAAATAGTCAGAATCAGTCAGATTTTACAGGAAATCTATCCCGTACTCGGTTCTCTGACTATTGAGAGGACAAAATGAGAGTAACTACGTTTCTCTCTCTGTCAGAAGTTACCAGTTTTAGTCCGAGAATTTTTTGCTGGTAAATTCTGGTAAATGTGTCAAACGATCAGCTGTAGTGTGCTTGGCAACTTGGCACTCTGCTAATGCATGTTGAAAAGTATTTAGTTACTTGTTTAAGTGGATTCTTATGAATTTGAAAGTACTTTTGGTTGTTTACATGTGCGAGCTGAGTGTGTTTACATACAAAATAAGCAAAAATTTACAAACAAAATTTTCAGGTTATGTTGAAGTTGACAGAAGTTACCATCTTTTACTAGAAAGCGATCCCGTACTTTTCAAAGTTACTCTCTTGCTCTGAGCGAATTTTTATTTTTTGACAGTTTTACAAGTTTTAGTCCGAGGAATACGCGATTGCACCTATTACTAATGCAAACATTAAAAGAGAATGATAACATATGCATACATGCATAGTTGCCAACTTCGTGCTTTAAGCACTAGATTTAGTGCTTTTTGAAAACTAAAACGCCAAAAAAAGTTATTTAGTGCCTAGTGCCTTTTTTAGTGCTTTTTTCTGAACTAAAATTACTCCGATATAGTTAAAACCTGAAATAATTTTTAAATATTTAAAGCTGTGGCAGAACTGCACTCGTTCGCTCATGCTTCACAGGTATACGAAGAGCGGCAGCAGAGCCGAGAGAGAGAGAGAGAGATCATACGAGAGTAGCCACAATTTTTAAATTCGGTAATAATAGATCTCCTTTGCGACCCAGTTCAGCTACGTATTTTTCATATAATTTGTAAAAATAAAGATTTACAAATTTTTAAATTAAACTCTCTTTTAAAAAGATATTTTGTACTGTTAAACGTAATTTAATTTACCGGTTAATAAATCACCCAAATAATGCAAAATCTATTTTACAAAAAAGTTGAATTCAAAGCTAAATTAATGTTTCAAATATTTATACATATAAACCTGTGTATGAATATTTTACATAATTGTAAAATTAGATTTCCGTTCAAAATATGCTCGTATGTATTTTCATTATGAATAAAATGACATACATATGTATGTTAAAATATTAACTTACTAGCTTATACCCGCGGGTTTCACCGCGCGCTTTTATACAAATATAAAAAATAATTTAATGATGTTAGATTTTATTTCTGTGCCCATTTCGTTATAGCTCGTTATATTTTAAGCGAGTTAAGGTATTTAGGCCGTTTAAAACTATGAAATTATAAAATCTAGTCTGCGCGCTAGGCATACGAAAGATATCAATCCCTCTAAGTTTACCTTAAAATGGTTTCAGGTATACGACGCGTAAACATGTAACCTTCTTGGAGGTACCACGGCGGGTTCTAATATTTCCAACTCAAATTTAGTAACCTGGCCTTGATAAAATACCACTTCTCATTACTGTAGAAAATGCCTCAAGAGAGCTTTAGATTATAAGGCCGAACCCGGCTCTCCCTTTTCCCTTAAATGAAATTTTTTCTATCAGTATGGCACTTATAAAATAAATCTCCATAACAAATTTAAAATACTTCCAAAGATTTTCTATCCTTCCAGAGATATGTATTAAGAAATTTTTAGTATGTATGGGAGGCGACATGCCTCCTTTTTTAATAACTCACATTTTTTCCATGAGCAATTGAAACATTTTGTATACACAACTCCATACCAAGTTCCAGTATTCTTCCACAAACACTTCCAGGGATATGTGGCAAGAAAAAGTCAATTTGCACAGAAAGTGCCACGCCCCTTTTTCTTATAGCCCTAATCTTCTTTCATGAATTTAGAATTGATTTTACATATCCCAGTAACAAGTCCAGTACTCTACCATGAACACCTCTAGAGATATGCAGTATAAAAGTAAATTTGTACGGGAGGTACCATGCCCCTTTTCGAATAACGCAAATTTTTCTCCATGAGTATGGAATTAATTTTGTATACACATCTCGGTGCCAAGTTCCCGTCCTCTGCAATAAACACCTCCAGAGATATCAGCATACAAAAATCAATTTGCATGGGAGTTGCCACATCACCTTTTCCAATAACTCTCATTTTTCTCCATGAGTATAGTATTAGTTTCACATACATCATACATATGTATTTCCATACCAACCTTGAGTACTTTACCCCAAACATTTGAAGGGATATGCAATATGAAACTTTCAGTCAGTATGGGAGGTGCTACGCCTCTTTTCCAAAAACGTCCGTTTTTCTCCGTCAATATGAACATGATTTCACACAGTGTTGGAAAAATGTTAATCTGATTAACGTTTAAAAATTACCGATCAAAATGTTAATCGCGTTTGACGATTAAAATTAATTAGCCGTAATCAACTGTACGATTAATGATAACATTTTTTGAATCGTTAATCGCTGGCTGCGATTACATTTAATTAATTTAAAATATTAATCGTTAATCCAATTAAAAATAAAATCTGATTAATTTGTCTAGTTTGTCCGAGTTTGAAACCAAACACCAGTTATAGTAATTATTTTGTGTTTTACGCCTATAAAAAGCACATAATATAAAAAATTATAATTATTGTTATTAGTAATACATAAACTGGGAACTTTTACAAACCTAGTTTGTAAAACGTTTGTTGGTATATATCTTAATGAAAATGCACACCAAATTGCTTAGATGGATGAGGAAACCCGACTTAGCCATTCCGGATTAACTTGCTTTGTGTGCACAGGGAAATTCCAGCATAACTTAATTAATCACCAAACCTACTTGATCAAATTAAGAGTTAATGATTAAAAATTAATTTTTTAATCGCGGTCACGATTAACTATTTAGTCAGATTAAAATTAATCATGATTAACTGTAATGAGATTGAACTTAATCGTATTAACTAACTGATTAAAACATCAATCGATTAATGCCATCATTAATTTCACATAGATATCACTATACAAAGTTTCAGTTCTCTCCCACAAATACATCCAGAGATATGTATGTAATATGAAAATACCAATTTGTATGGGAGGGGCCTTGAGTTATCGGACTTACTTTCAGTCTAAGACCATCCTTCCGAAATCTGTAGTAAGTGTACTAAATTTCGTTCTGATCGGAAAACCGGTTAACGAAGTAGCCTGTTTTTCAATCCAGGTCATAAACCAAAATTTCATTTTCAAACAGGTGGCAATTCTTAAAAAAGTAGCCTTTTTTCCAGTCTAGGTCATAAAATATGTGTGCAAACTTTCATGCAAATCAGTTCAGTCCTTTACGCGTATTAATTTAATTAAACTTTCCTAATACGTGATAACTCTTAAAATAGTATGCCTATTTTCCACTGTAGGTCATAAGCTATCTGTGTGCAAATTTTCATGCAAATCCATTCAGTCGTTCCCGCATATTAAATAAATTAAACTTTTTTAACAGGTGGCAACTCTTAAAAAAAAATAGCCTATTAACGAATCTGGCCCATAAGCTATCTGCGTACAAAATTTCATGCAATTCCGTTCAGTCGTTTCCGCGTGATGATTTCCCAAACATCCAAACATACAAACTTTCACATTTATAATATTAAGTAAGATTTTTTGCAATATTTATGCAAACTTGGGGTTTGTCACAAAAAAGAGGAAAAACCTTATCTGTCGCTCGAAAAATCTAAGCTCGGTCGCCGCCAAAAAAAAATATCTACATAAAAATAAAAATAAAAATTCTGAGGATGATCATTTTTTTAGTTTTGGTAAAAAATTAAAAAAATTGTTGTGGCAACCCTGAGGATGAAACTGAATTAGGCACACTAACAATTGCTCACTTTTAGCTCGTGCTTGTTTGTGGTAGGTCGGCGTTATGCAGAAATTTTGTTTGGCAAACTGCGTGCAATTGTTGTTGCAGCAAACTCGGAGAGAGCGAGTTTGGCGACTCTCACAGCAAACTAATTTTGTTTGGTCAAACTGCAGCAAATTCGGTGTTGTCATATACAAAAAATTTTTGACAATTGTTGCTATACACATAAAATTGTCGTGATACTGAAAGCCAGAGAACTGAATTTATGCTGTAGGAGCTTCAAAGATTAGGGCACAGTTAATTGCCTATACGACATCATAAAAAATATATTAATTGTGCGCGTTATGTACATCTGAAATTCTCATTTCGTGTTGGCAATAGCCGTGAAAACCATAATGAACGTGCAACCCTGTGCCAAACTCGGCATAACCACCTCCGAGCAAACTAAGCAGCCGCCATTTAATTTGGCAAACAAAAGTTTGTCTGCATAACACCGACCGTAGTGTCCATCACGGCTCATGTAGATATGATAATTATTTTCGTTTTTGAGAGATGCTGAATTTGCTGTTGACTGTTAGTATTTCCGCAGCTGCTGTGCGATGAAGATCATGAAAGTGGGGATGTATGATGATTGTAATGTATTTTTAACACCCTCTTCACCCTGAGAACTGCTTTACCTCTTGCGTAGCACTTGCTGCCTCTTTGACTGCTTTAAGAGCCAAAAATCTGCCCATCCCTGCTTTAAAGTATTGATAATTTCTTTTGCGATTTTCTTTTCCGTTTTGCCGAGTAATATTCTTAATAAAATATCCATTGTCTCTGTTGTTGGTATTGACGGGTAAAGATCCTTTATGTCAAATGATACCAATTTAGTATTATTAGTGATATGTAGGGGTGTCATCTTTTCTATAAGCTCTGCCGCGTTTGTGACTATATATTAATTTGACAAGGGATGACGGAAAATCGTTCCACAATACATCATAATTCTAAGCTATTATTGTAAAATTTAATAAACCCAAATTTAATTTTATAAGTCTGAGCAGATATGTACATAAATGTATACATACTTTCTTTGATACATGCAAGTACTAAAAGTTTCGCCTTTGAAACCAAACAGTATTTAGCCTACTTTTGATAATATACGTATATACCTAATAGTTATGCCGTATGTAGGGTATACAAAAAAAAAACAGTAATTGAGCAACCAACGATCGTGGAAAATAACAATATTACTTTCTTGTATGTTTTGTACTTAGTTTTCACTTTTTATGTTTGGTTATGTTCTTCATCGAGAGTTTCATGAATATTTCACCAACGAGGTTATATTATATTTGATTACATAGTGATGTAGAATTTTAGCTACTTTCATTTGATACTAAACCCTTCTTTGTATTTTGAAATTCATTTTTTGAATTAATACACAATATCGACGTCAATTACCCCACTGTGCGTCCGCTTAGAAAAGAGTAAGAAGAAAAAGTTTGTTTACAATTTTCCATTTGTTTACATTTTCCATAAAAACAAACAGATAAAACAGTAAAATTCGTGCAAATAATTGAAAAATAACTTAAAATTTATTAAAGAAATAATAATTTTTCATCACTTAACATTTTTGCGCCTCATACTTTGACGCTTTGAACTCGCTTCGTGTGCAGATCTTGATGCGTAGACGAATCGGTGCTACATAAAAAATTTTATCGCGTATAAAGCTATATGACCCGTGTGTAGACTGCCTTAAATTCCAGTCATCAGACATCAGTGTTGTCGCGAGCGAATGTTTAAGGGAAGCGAAGCGCTTGAAAAATCGAAGTGTTTCGAAGACGATCGAAGTGAAATGTGCCTGAATTCCTGTCGGTATTACACATTTTCTTCCATACAAAGTACGTGTTTTTACACATATGGAAGGAAATGAGCACCACCTAAAAAAAAAATCAAAAATCAACGCGAATTCCTAGCTCAATACGATACTAAAATTGCATCGGCTATACAAGTGTATACCCGAGTTTTTTCTAGAAATTCGGTTTGAAAAGTTTGAAATTTTGATGTCGATTTTTTGAAAGTTGGCGATTGTTAATAAAACTTACTGGTCTACATGGTTGGTTGCATGATACAAAAAACAAGGTAGTTCCATTGTCACTTTTTCGTCGCCATATTAACAACCTGACAATTAAGCAGATTGTGACATTTCGTGCTACCATACCCAATATCTAGAATCCTTCAAATTTTCATATTAATTTTTTGTCGATTTAAAAATATTTTGTTCTTACATGTACATTTAAAATTGTGTGAAAGCTGACAGTTTATAGAATTCAGTAGCGACGAAAACAAAGGGGGGTTAAGTGGTTAACCTTACCTAAGCCGATCATAAAACTTGCGACGCAATTTCAGCTTACGCCTATGGATCTTGGCAAGAATGTAATCCCTGAAGGTTTAGCTTAAAATGGTTCTCGGGATACACCCTGTGATCATTTTCCTTTCCAAAAGGTGTCGCGCCCGTTTTTCTGTACATATTTCCGTGGGAAAAATACCTCATCTCAGTATTCTAGGTAAATGCTTCCAGAGGTATCTATGCGTCACAAGAATTTTAGTTTATTTGGTTCATACCGCTAGCTCTTTTCAATGGCTACGAGATCGTTTTCATATACCCCCATTTTTCATAGGTTTGGGATTGATTTCATTTACCTCTATTCCAAGTTCTACGGTGGCACGCCGCATTTTCCAATAAATCCATATTTTTCCATGAGCTTGAGATTGACTTCATATACATATATCCATACAAAGTTCCAGGACTCTACCACAAATACTTCCAGAGATATGCACTATGAAAAATTCGATTTGTATGGGGGGTTCCACACGCCCTTTAGATATCGGTTTTGTTTTAGCCTATAACCATTCTTGTGAAAATTTGTGATTGCAAAAAATTAAATCAAACATCATAGTTGACCAAAAAAGAATATTAGACTTCATTCTCTCAACTTCTCAGAATGTAGAAAAGCTAAGAAATATATAATAAGATAGGATATATTAAAACAGCCTCCAAACATTTACTAAAGACACCCCTGGACTACACAAATCAGTTTGATTCAAAATTTATTTTTATCTATTTTTTATACTTAAATTTTGGGTGTGTCAAAATTTCATGTGAAAACAATATGTGTTACTGGAAAAATTTTACGGCCCATGGGTCCTAAAGTAAATTCCATTTGCTGTTAAATGGACAAAGACAATAAGTATTACATAACACATCGAAACGTGTAATTTCAGTGTCTGAATTACATCTGAATCATCGTATCCAATATAGACACTATAGACGATGAGGACACTAAAAAAATTTTAAAATATGTTCACTAAAATTGTTTTAATATTAAAATAATAACTTAGCAAGTTGTTATCGAATTTAATGTAAAATTTAAACGTTTTTAAGATAAGATATTGATTATTTTTAAAAGATATATATTAATACAACTATTTTCTTTATAATCCCAAACTTAGGATATAAAATCTCCCTCACCAAAAAACTTACAGTTGGGTAACGCCGCTTCCAATTTTTCACAATTGAGCAATTGTCAAAAATCTGCTTTTTAATCAAAAAGTTGTTTATTGAAACTGCCTTCTTGTTTGTATAATGGTTGGTTGTAGTATAAACAAAATTTTTGTAAAAAGTAAATTATAAATAAATAAAGAAAAAATAAATGATCAGAAGTCATAAAGAAATAGTGTCTCTAATTATACATACATTTACATATATGTATATGTATTAATAAAAAACATGTTTTTTATTTATTATCTCCTTTTAACAAAAAAATTCAGATGTTGAATCTTACAGATACAGGGTAGAACTAGTTCTATATAACAAAACTCTTAAACTTTTAATAGTGGTTCACTTTGTGTCCACTAGTGGTCCCTTTAGGTTGTCCACTTTCGCCGAAAAGATCGATTGATTAATTAAGATTAATTTTTTTCCAGTGAAATTGTATGTCGTTTCGTTGGCGGACATTTTCTTCACAGTCGTAAAAGTATCTTCAAAGAGATCTATTAAAATTAATTCAAATTAAGTAAAATTCATACCTTTTAATACCACTCCTCTTCGAAGTGCTACGAAAGAAAACGGGGTTAAATAATAAAAATTTTTTATAAATATGAAAAGAATACAAATCTTACATTTCTGCCGCTTTCAAACCGACGCACAGTGTTTCGACTATATGGAGGCAGGTATAAAAAAAGTCATGGTGACAGTTGGTAAAAAAAACCGGTTTGACTTAGAGAGGGAATAGTAAAAGTCATAAGTACCAAATTTTACATTATTTACTCACCCCCCTTCACGAACGATACATTTCCAAAAAAATACGGGAATGGGCGCGATATCGGCTTATCAGTTTAGTTGCATTTGGCGCTGAACCCATTACAGAAAGTGTTTCTTTTTCAATTGTAATTAATTACACTGGTCGACGGCCAAAATTTACCAGAGACGCCGTTATGAAATTCGTATGTAAAATCACCCCCTGATTCCGAAAATCAAGGTTATTTTTAATTTTATGGTACCGTTTTTGAGATATTTGCAATTT